CATCTTTAATCAGTTTTTTTTATTCATATATAGTACATTGATTATATAATTTAAGCTATAAAGTATAGATAAAACCAGAAATTTAAAAAGTATATGATAAAGTAAAATTACTTTTACCAAAATATTACTAATTAATGGAAATAAAGTGATTGGGTATGGTTCACTTTTTAGAAAATCTTGGTTGAACAGTTTTGACTGTACTGATTCTAAGGTTTTGTTCCAGGTTCTGTTTATTCTTTTTCTGTTTTTAATGACTGTCATAGCTAAAAACATTCTTTACAAAGATACGCATAATTCGATAGAAGGAGGATACCATTGACTGTGTTTGCTCTCATGATGGTGATTTTTATTACCAGTCACAATCATGTAAAAGTTTGTTGAAATTTGGCCAGTGAATTTGCATTTTCCCTGATAATTCCTTTCAGTATAATTGATTTTGAAATATATTTTTATATTAACGTCAAATTCTTTTATTGGAGAAATTTTGAAACATGTTGGAAAATTCTGTTTTCAGATTTTTTATGAGTGATACATATGACTCAATTTAGGTAACAAAGTTATGAATTGATGGCAATATTTCAGACTTCAAAATGCTCTCCCCATAGCATGATAGCATCCTTTTCTCTTTTGTTTTTAATTTTTATTATGGATAATGTCAAATATATCAAAAGTAGACAGAATTGTAATAATGGAGCCCCATGCACTTGCCACACAGTTTTGACAATTGCCAACTCATGGTCATTTTGTTTCCAACCTTTTTCTCTCCAGCTCCCCATATTGTTTTGCAGTAAATTTCACACATCATACCATTTCATCCATAAGTTTTTAGTACATGTCTCTAAGACTGGGTTTCTCAAGTTCAGCACTGTTGACATTTTGGGCCAAATAATTCTTTCTTGTGGGTGAGCTGTTTTGTACATCGTATGGCTTCTACCCAGTAATGACAGGAGCCCACTCCCACCCCCATCGTAACAAGCAAAAGTATGTCCGGTTATTGCCAAATGTCCACTAGAGGAAATGGGGAGGGGGCAAAATCTCCTAAAGTTAAAAACCACTGCTCTAAAATGTAAGGACTGTTTTCCATCATGACACCAAAAATTGTGGGAAAAAAAATCTTCAAAAATTATTCTTAATTTCATAAAATGGCTTGTCAGTATTCAAATTTGTACTTTAATAAATATGACAAAAATCTTAAATTATCTGAATTAGGCTCCAAATTAGATCTACATGTTTGTTGTGTCCTAAGTCTTTTCTAATCATCTTTATCCAGTTTTCCCCTTGCTTGCAGTTTGTTGAGGAAGCTATGTTGCTTGTAATACAATTTTCCCTTCATCTGGATTTTGCCAATGACATTCCTATCCCTTGTCTTTGATGTCTTCTAATGTCTTTTCTACACAAAGCTTTTGTGGCATCTTTATGACATTAATTCTTATTCTGTAGTTTGTTGCTATTAGGGTTATCTTATATTTTATTATTTTCTTTTAGTATTTCTCAAGCGAACATTTATCTCACTTGTTTTCATTCATTCATGTTTTCTGATAAATGTATTTGACCTATAAGTTGTTATTTAAGTTTTGCTTTGGCTATGTCTCACAACTTAATGGTTTTTTTTTTTTTTTTTTTTTGTCAATCAATATTTTGTTACTTCTGCCAAGATTGTTGGAAGATACCCAAGGATTATTTAGGGGTATATTGTTAGGTTTCAGCTATGTGTGCTTAAGGAAAAAAAGATTGTTGGTTATTGATTTATTTTGTTACATTATAGGAAGAGTAATATTTTTATGATGGTTTTTTTTTTTTTACTCCATTAAGGTGATTCTTTGTGCTTTAGTATTAGGTCATTAAATATGAAATATCCGATTTTGAATCAAAAGTTTATTATATCTCAAACAAGAAGCAGTCCAGTTAATCAAAGTATGCACCTAAACTATTGACACAGTTTTGCCATCTTAAGAGTAGATTGTTTATGCCAGCAACGAAGAAGCTTGGAGAGTGAGTGACAATGAAATGGCAAGAGGCATTTTCCACAGCTTGTTGAGAATTGAATATTTTTCCTTGCAAGAAGGGGTCCAAAGCCTGGAAGAAGTGGTAGTGAGCTGGTGCAAGGTGGAAATATGTGTCAATGCAACCAGACTCTTAAAATAATAAAAAAAAAAAATGTGGGGAAAATGATGAATTTCATGGAGGAGAGGGGATTGGGGAGTCAGCTCTAGGGTAGTAGAATGTGGGTGTCAGTTGTTGTAGGACTGAGGTGAGGTGATTGGACTGGAATTAGGTGGAATTGAGGAAAGTTTCAGTAGGGTTGTATTAATAAATATGCTAGACTCTATAGTGTGTTGAAGCAGGGACTACAATTCATAAGGTGATCTAAAGGCCTTACCTAACTCCATGTAAGCAAGCTCCTTTAAGTTCTCTTACGTTTTTAAGCCATAGGTACCTTCTGTTAGTTTCATTTTGCCTTTGGACATTTATGCATGTTCTTGCTGGAGAAGAATCCCACATCTCCCTCTTAAAAGCTACAGGAACTTGGGAAGGTTGCTTAATCCCCTAATAACTTTTTTTTATCCATCTATGAAAATAGGGTAAATATTAACCTGGTTATCATTTCTCACCTAGAATTTTGCAGTCACCTCCTACTCTCCCTACTTCTTCCTTTGGCCCCAATGTCTGTTCTTCATGGTATATCTGAATCCTGAAAAATGAAAATCCTATGATGTCACTGCTCTGCTCACAGCCTGCTAGTGGCTTCCTTTCTCACTGAGAAAGTGCCCCACAGTCATGACTTGAAGGACATAAGTGATACCACCTCTCTCTGAAGCCTCTTTTCTACTCACTGCCCTGGCTCAATCTGCCCCAGCTGCATTTGCCTTTCCAGTCATCCTCCAGCCCCAGTACCTTTAGGTAGTCTGTTCCATCTGATTGGAACACTTTTCCCTGCATTTCACTGCGTAACTCCCTACCTCACCTCCTTTATTTAGATGTTTGTTTAAATATCACTGTTCCAGAGGGTTTATCATTGACTATTCTTTATAAGATAATAATTCATCGTTTGTTATTCCTTTTGCTTTGGTTTGTTTTTATAACATTTACATATTCTATTTGCTGTCTGTCTTCTGCCACAAAAATACAAACTTTTCAAGAGCCAGCACTTTGCTTCTTTAATTCACTGATGTTTTTCTAACACCAAGAACTTCACCTGAGATGTGATTGGTGCTGAAATAAATATTTGTTGAGTAATTACTAATAATAAACCCTAGAGGCCATTTGTTATGATACGTCAGTGACTGTTCTGGGTGTCTTGTGTTTACTGACTCATTTATTTCTCCTACCACCCTTATGTGAGGAAATTTTAGCACAGAGATGAAATGGCTGACAGTGAACAAGTGACATGGCCAGAATTCAAGCACAGATAGTCTTGATCCAGAGTCCATGTTCTTTCTGCTCCTCTTAAAAATAAGTCATTTGTGTAAAATGCTTATAACAATTTGTCATAGACTAAGTATTCAATAAATGTTAGTTAATATCATCATCAGCATCAAGATGCTGAATGTTAAGAGAATGCAGGTGGAGCCAGGCTGTCCAGTGTTTAATTTTGGACCTCACAGTTTCCTTACCTTTAAAATGGGAGTAACGTTAATGCCAAAAGCCTGCTGTGACCTGTTTGAATCTTGAACATGTAACCCTGGAACTGATTACTTATTCTTGCTGAGCAAAATGCAAATATTTATACTTACCTGATTATTACATTGATTAAGAGAAATAGTGCACATAAAGTTGTAAAGTGCCTGGTAAGTCCTAAATTCAAAATAAATGAATTCTGTTATTAGGCTTCTATAAATAATGTCCAACAGTAGAATATCTACAGTAAGTTACTGAACTCTTTCTGAGAGTAAAAGTGAAGTGGAACCTAATTGTTTGCCAGTTGTGTATTTTAATAAGATAGACATTTCAAATTCTCAGCAAAACTTGTGTATGTGTGTCAAACTTTTCTTCCTCAAAAGCTACCATTAAAATTTTTAAAAATCATAATAAAAAGATACCGTTCAAGAAAGACCAGCCACAGAATGAGAGAGGATATTGACTATGTCTAACAAAAGCCTCTCATCCAGAATATAGAAAGAACACCTACAAATCAGTAGGGGGTGGAGGAAGGAAAGGCAGCAATTCAGTAGGAAAAAACCAATGAAAGCTTGAATAGACACTTCACAAAAGAAGATATCCAAATGGCCAGTAAACATGAAGAAGTGCTCTCTTTCATTAGTCTTCAAGGAAATTCCAATTAAAACCACTATCTATTATTACAGTATGTTCAGAATGAGTAAAATGAAAAAACTAGAAAATACTAAGTGGAGGCAAAGATACAATGTAACCAGAACACCCCCGTGCTGCTGGTGGGAGTGTGAATTGTTACACCCTCTTTGGCATGCTGTTTGGTAATACCTGCCAAAGCTAATACATATGTCTTATGACCTAGTGATTATACTCCCAGGTATATATGCAACAGGAATGTGTACGTATTTTCACCAGAAGACATATATAAGAGCGTTCACATGGGTAGACACACGTATACAAAGAGAATGAGAAAGAGTGTTCTGGTGATGTTGGTTCGTTTTGACCATTCTAAAGCTTGGCTTTTTAAGCAAATAACGGTACATACTGTGTGATTCCACTGATGTAAATTTAGATGTAGGGAAGCTGGTGAATGTGGTAGAAGTCAGCTTAAGTCTTCCCCGAAGCAGTGGTGGAGAGTGACCCGTGGGGTTGGAGGAACTTCTGGGCGTCTAATCATGCTCTGTCTCCTGCGGAGTCACTGAGATATAGCACACTTATAATATGTGGACTTTTTTGTGCTGAAAAATAAAAATTTACGTTTAAAGCTCAATTGATTAAAATCATCTTTCAAACTAATTAGCAATACCATATTCACAATAATATAATTGTAGGCTATGAATTGAGAAAGTGACATTTCTAATTGTTTTACTTTGTGAATTATTTTTTAGATATGAATTGAGGATTCGTTATTTGCCAAAAGGATTTCTAAACCAGTTTACGGAGGACAAGCCAACTTTGAATTTCTTCTATCAACAGGTATAGGAGAGTGCTTTAATATACTTGTTTCTTTGAATCCTATTTATTACATTTTTTAATTATAGAATTAGATTAAACCTAACACTTGGGAGAATATAAATTTGTAGCTGTATGGCAGTGAAAATCTTTTAACCAGTGAGAAATTATGAATTGTTGACATTTTTTGAACTTTTGTACACCTTAAATCTTAAAAGATACTTTTGTGTGGAGTCCACAGCCATTTCTCTGTCTCTAATTCAAATACGATTATCATGCCTCAATATCAACAGATTTGTTATATGTAGAAAATTTTGTCAGAGCCAGTTATACCCGTATAATCTTGATAGCAATTTACATAACAAAGTTAAAGTTAAATTTTTACACTGAGTAGCTTTGCTTTTTACAAAACATTAGTTAGGTAATAAATACATGTGGCATAAATTAACTAACACAGTTTTACAACCAAGAAATCTTACTTGTTAATATTAGCAAATATCCAAAAAAGGCTAATGAATACCAAAAAGACTTTTGTACATATAATTTTGCCATTACCTGTACTTGGTAATTTTTTGTTTTAATAAAAATACTAAGTATCTACTTTGAACCAGTAATGCAGAAATTAATGGCATAATCTACACCTTAAATTCTTCTGTCTAGTGGAGGATTCTTGTAAACAATTACTTTGGGTTTGATCCTATGCTGTTAGTAAGCACAGATGATATGACCATACATAGAAGAGTCTGTTAACCCCAGGTAGGTTTGGACTCCCCTGGAAAGTGTCATTTGAGGAGTCTCCAACTTTGTAGACAGGAAGAGTCGTGTTTTCTAGACAAGAACATGGAGGGGAGAGAAAAAAGCATGGTCCATTTAAATCTGAGCTAAAATGGTTTGATAAGAAGCTGATGAGAGAGATAGGGACCACATCATGTAAATAGAGGAGTTTGAGTTTTCTCCTATAGATTATTGGGGAACAGTTTATAGAATTTAGTTAGTGAATGCCTCCATCAGAATTTTTTTTTTTTTTTTTTAATGAGACCACTCTGATGAGGGAGAGATTGGATTTTTAAAAGGCTCCAAGCACATTCAGAGACTCTTCAACCAATCTGGCAAGAAATTAGAAAGATATAAAGTATAAGGATATAATAGTAAGCAAATTTAGTGGATGGATTTGATAGAACCCAGAGATTGAACTAAAATGGAATGTGAAAATAAAGAAGAAAAAGGCTTATCGTTTGAGTCAAAGGCTTAGTGCCAGGAAAGAGCAATGATGAATAAGATTCATAATTGAGGGTTAAGAAGGTAAATTGTTTTATTTCTCTGAGATAACAGTAGATGTTCTTGTAAGATTCAAACAGAGAGCACGAAGCTAAGGAAGTTTCAGCATTAGAGGGGAAATGTCTTTTTTCTTCATGTCTGTGAGGTAGAAATCATAAAGAAAATATCAGGTGTTAGGTAAGGGATTCATGGAAAGGTTTGAGGGTTTGCAATAATACAGTGTTGGATAAAAGCATAAGTTATGTTTGCCAAAATGGAAAGAGAGAAGACATGTTTAGATTCCAGCTGAGATTGCTGGAGGCCTGCTCATATTGCAAAATGATTTCCATTTTACAAACTGGTTCTCATATGTATTAATACATCTTTCCCTTTAACAATACATTGAGCTTCATGTTTTGGTGAAGGAGGTAACATGAGTTTAAATAACTGATAACGTTTAAACAGCATTTTCCTCTCTTATAGATGATCTAGATCAGCATTGGTATTATTTCTTTGGAAAAAATCCACCCACTGAGGAAGTATATGGCCACATTAGTGACATCAATTTTCAGACTGCATAATATAGGCCTAAATAGCACATAGTTACTCCTTTTTATAATTTCTAGTCTAACCTATAAGTTGGCGACTTTTTTGTTCCTTTGTTCCTTGTTCACACTGTTACTAGATTGTCCTAGTTTTTCCTTGTTGGAAGACCTTGCTTCTACCTATATGATTAAAAGTTAGTACTGTACATACCACTGTATACCAATTTTCTTTTGTTGATAGGATGTATCTTATTACAGTCTATATAATTCTGTTGAGTAGCATCTATAAATTACAGGAGAAAGTGAATTCTAATGATGGAATTTTTCTTGAAAGAATATGCACTGAATACTTAAAATTTTCTACCATATAATTGCCCAATGATTTTTTTAAAAATTTCAGTCTATGGACTGTACCAGGCTTATGAGGATTCAGCACTTACCATTTACATATCAAGATATGAGTGTGAGGCCGAGAGTGGTAGCTCACGCACTCTGGGAGGCCGAGGCGGGAGGATCGCTTGAGGTCAGGAGTTCAAGACCAGCCCGAGCAAGTGTGAAACCCTGTCTCTACTAAAAATTGAAAGAAATTAGCTGGACAACTAAAAATATATAGAAAAAAAAATTAGGCATGGTGGCGCATGCCTCTAGTCCCAGCTATTTGGGAGGCTGAGGCAGAAGGATTGCTTGAGCCCAGGAGTTTGAGGTTGCTGTGAGCTAGGCTGATGCCACGGCACTCTAGCCCGGGCAACAGAGCGAGACTCTGTCTCAAAAAAAAAAAAGATACGAGTGTGAGCTGCACATTATGGGTTGCTACACAACTTGCCTTTTTCCTTCCTCTGTACTCACTATATGACCCTTCAGCTGCTCCTCTCCACCTTCTGCTGTCATTCATATTTCTACAGTTTCCTCTTCTGCACCCTGTTCCCTTTTTAATTTTTAAAAAATTGTCAAATATATGTCACATTTTTAGAAATTATCCTAAAACATCACTTAAGTTATCTCTAGTCTCATCATTTTTGTTTTACGTATGCTTTTATAATAGTTTATCAAGTACATACATTTTTAAAAGAAAGTGTAGTCATGGTTGTGTCCCACGTCATTGCTTGTTCATGCCCATGTGACACTGAATGGAGCAAGGTAAAAAGGCAGTGCTAAAGCCACAAAGGGGAGGGGAGGAAGAAGGAAAATACTGCGATTTGTCAGAATGAGTGAATTGGCAAGTATACCAAGATCCTTAAATATGTTCATATCCTCCAAAGCTCTTAGGTGGCCCTATTGACATTGCCATTTTTGTGAGGAAAAAACAGTTGAATGTTGCCAGTTTCATATGATTTGACCTAATAATTCTACTAAGAATTTATTGTAAAGAAATAACAAGGTTTACACATGTGTATATACCTGCAAGGATGCTCATAGGCATATTATAGTAAAAAAGAAATGGAAGACATCACAGATGTCTGTCAAGAGGTTCATTAAATAAATTCAGCTGAGTTTTAAATTTATGCCTCTGTCATAAATAGGCATACCCATTCATGGATGTGGAAGGTATTACATTAAATGCTGTTGTTTTAAGCAAGCCATGTATAAAACATGTATAATTCCATTTGTATGAAAAATGTATATATTTTTATTTTACCCTGATCTGGTAATGATGGTTTGAATATAGTATGATTTTTTTTTTTCATTGCTGATTTGGCAAGTAATTATATATTTGACTTCTTTGGTAAAGTCTCAGTGCAGAATCTGTCCTGGTACATGCTTGGAAATTCCAGAACTATTATGGGTGACTGATGAATTGTCCTACACAGGCAATATACAACTTTGAAAAGAGTTTAATTCCAAAGTTGAAAAATTAGTTATGAATCCAGAATTTTCTGCTGTTTAAGCACGGACACAGACACACACAAATAAAGGGAGAAAGTACAAAGAAATAATTGGCCCCTTTAGCTTTTTATAGCCAAAGTATATTTAACTGAGAATGCAGCTGAGATATGTAAGAACTTGTACGTGGAAATTTTCACTGAATTCTGAGATAAATTCATCATTTTATAAGGGCCCCAGCATTTGTTGTTACTCATTCTTTGTAATTGTTTAGATTCTGTAGTATCTAATACATGTATTCTTTGGTAAGGTGTGAAATTAATAGTAAAACAACTATCCATGACCCTACTGCTCAGATGAAAAGAGCATCCTGATAATTCCTTGTCCCATGTTCCTGTGCTCCACCCCCAACCCGGCCCTTTCACTCCACTCAGGCAAACATCATCCTGAAGTTTTGTTTATCATTCCCTTGCTTGCTTTTGTTTGCTGGTTGTCATGTTTTAAATCATATGTGTTTATTTTTCAGTTCTACCCTTAAGGTATAAGCTGACCCTAGTTCTCCAATAGCCCTCTTTATTCTTGTCATTGTCCGGAGTATGTTTAGGCTTTGTTTTTTATTTCCCAGCTCATGGAAGCATTCAAGAAGATTTTTAAAAAATACTTTGTTTAGCATTTTTAGTTACTTTCATTGAGCAGATTGGTCAGGACATTCAGTTCACCTTGTTGGTAAAAATGGAAGTAATAATCCAGGGATTTAAAATTTTAAACATTTATCTCTTTTGGTTGATTCAGAAAATAATTTTGCTTTGTGGTTCATTTGATATTTGATGTTCATTGTTTAAATATTATTTAGACTTGTTTTATCATCTTGTACATATTTAAATTTTGTTAAGTTTCCAGTTTTGCGTGAATGGAATGTCAAGGCTCCATAAATTCCCATTTATTTAAGAATTAATTGTGTTGAGATCTTTTGTGTCTCTAATATTCTTTTTTCCTGCTTGAAAGGTAGTGTTGCTGGATATACATGAGTCAGGGTAGGAGTTATTTTCTCTCAGCATTTTGATGATATTTCCTACTGTCTTTGATTTCTATTGTTGCTATTGAGAAGTAAGCTCTCATTTTATCTTTCTTTGTGGGTGATCTACCTTTTCTCTCTGGGTGGCTTTCAGATATATTGTTGTTTTGCAGTTTCATTACAAACTAATTGTGGATTTCCATTTTTTCCCCCTGCTTGACCTGTGTTGTGCTACCTTTACCTCTGTGGGTTCAGGTCTTTTTTATTAATTCTGGAAATGTCTTAGTTGGTATCCATTCAGATATAACCTTTCTTCAACTCTTTATTATTCCTTCTGGGATTTCAGCTTGGATCTGTGTTAGAACTTCTCAGTCTATCCTATCTAT